CCCGGTCGACCCGGGGCATTGACCCGGTCGACCCGGGGCATTGACCCGGCTGGGTCAACCCAGTTGACCCGGTCCTATAAATTTTTTTTATTATTTTTTTTATTTTTTAATATATTTTTTGTTTTTAAAAAATAAAACTATTTATATATATTTATATGGTCAATATTTATCATGAAATACATATTATTAGCACTTTAATGTGCAAATTTTATATACAAAATATTTAATTTTGTTATTTTTATGTATATTTATAAGACAAAATACTCTATATATAATTTAAAAAAATTAAAATTAATTATCCGGTTCAGCAATTGACCCGGTGACCCGGATTTTGAACCGGTGACCCGGTGACCCGGAGACCTGCCCGGGTCGATTCCCGGCCGGGTTTAAAAACTATGATAACGTGATTCAAAATTTATACGCTGTTTCTAATCAAAATGGTAAGAATGGTAAGAACGCTGTTTCTAATCAAAACTTATTTCTGAAGACAACCATAATATAAGCTAATAGTGTTATAGCAACAGTGTATTACACGATTGTCAATTGATAATATTATACTTAATATGTCAAAAAAGTTTTTATTTAAAATTTCAAATACTTTTTTAAAATATTTATGGTTTGTTATTATTGAAAATGAGACTCATTACCTACAAGATTTGCTCGTCAATTTTACATATTTTCCAACTCATATCATATAATAGATTAGTATTAATTTATTAATTATTAGTATTAAGTTATTAACTATTAACATTAAGTATTATTTTTTTTAAAAAAAAATCCTTATCGGTTCGGTTCGGTAAAACAGAACCTCTATGGTTTCGGAATCGATATCGTATCGATAACATATCGGTAACCGATAATCGGTTACCGTTTTAAGTGAGTCGGTTCGGTTCAGTTTTTTTTTTCGTCGGTTCGGTTCGGTTTTCGATTTTCGGTCCAAAAATGTCAGCCCTATAATAGACTTGATAGATAAATCTAATTGATAAATAATATTTTCACTATTTTAATATTAGATAATTTATTTTTTATTCATAAAGGTAGGTATATTTTTTTTATATATGCAATATAAATACCAAATCAAAAGTCGTCAAAAGATTATTAATTTTAAAAACAGATAACAGATAAAAAATTTATTAATTATTAAAATATGTTTAAAATTTAAGTTGATCAAGTGTTTTTATAATCTTAAAAGTCTACATGGACTATTCTGAAGCACCATAATTTGATAATAATATTATGAAATATAGAAAGCGACAAAGGATTATGAAGTACTAGAGGTTGACATGTATATTTAGAAAACTCTGTATTTATATGTAGTAGGAAACTTGGGATAACTATGTGTAACATGATAGAACCATATGATATAAAATTTATTACATAATCTATATATATAATAAGAATAATCATTTACTAAAACTAGTAGTAAAAAATTTTGGAATCATTAAATGCATATCTTTTCTTGGAAATTTTTTAAATATATACATTAATAGCTTCCATATGTATGTTTTTAAATAAGATCAAATCAGATATGATAAAAAATATTGTTTCCTTAAATAATTTTATTGATATCTGCAGTAATTTCATTGATATCCCTTATAATAAATTACAAGATTGATTTTTCGTGATTCATGTTGATAATATTCACATATTTAAAGTTCTAACCATAATATTATTTTTTTTTCAAAAATATTCTCTTTTTATCCAAAATAATTATAGAAAATCGTAACAGGTTAGGTAGACTTTTTTCTTCCAATTAATCAGGCAAAATCAAGTTGGTGAATTAATCTTTGTAAAAAAAATTATTTTTCAAATTAATATAATTTACCATTTAAGAGATAATGAGCAGATACAGTAAATAGTTTTACTAATGGTCAAAAATTAAAATTAAAATATATTAACTGTTCTTTAGACTTTATTTGTATATTATTGACAATCATGATTTCTTTTTATTATCATTTTTTTTAATTTGATTTCTTTCTATAATGAAATTCTTGTAGAATATATTTCATTGCAGTATGTTAAATAAACTACAAATCCATATAATGCAACTTAGAAAAATCTTGATTATAGAAGGGATTGTGTTTTGACATTTGCTAAATCAAAGTTGTTTTATTACTATACAAAATTAAATTCTAAATAAACATGTGTATATTTTGTGAAATATTAATACACTATTTAATTTTGAATTTATTTGCATATTTTAAATTGATTACAAAAATAAATAATACTAACGTGCATTAAATATTTTTTATTACATAAAATAAAAGGAAAAAGAAGACGTACAACTTCTATAACATTTATAAATAATAATGACATTATATGATAACAAAGTTTATAATAAAATAATAATGAAGTATTATATCATGAACAAGAGTAAATAAAACTGTTATTTTCTCTTATATCAAGGAATAAATATATATACTAAAATTAAATTTACATTAATATAAATGTAATGGTGAGATAATATATTAATTACTTTACAAGTTAGCCCTAACATGTTCCTATTTAATGTTGTGGCTAAAAAAACAACGTTGATTAAAAGATATGTGAAAAATATATAATTTAGAGTTAACGCTGATTAAAAGAGGTGGAAAATAGATGATAACCGTATTGCATTTTAGACTTAAACGGACAGAATTCGTGAAAATAACTCATTTAATATATATATCCTGTGCATAGCACGAGTACGTACTAGTTTAAAATAACATTATATACGGTTGTCATATAATCCTAAATAATTACCGTCCAACGCCAAGGATCGAATTTTAGAGGATCTTTGTATATGTTGGGGTCTAAATGCATGGTTGACTGGCAAAGCATAATTCCCCATCCTGCTGGAATTGTATAACCTGTCAAATATTGATCTTTATATAGTTATTCAAGCAATAATAAATAAAACATTAGATCAAGTGATCCTAGGGTTAATAATAAGAAAACAATACACTTTATGTAGTAATTACAAAAACTCACAACTAATATATCAAACTGTAACTGCTCAGGTTCAATTTCACAAATTGCAAACTCCAACTCTCATATGGTTTAGTATATTTAGACCATCTTTATCCGTGACTCCATGGATGGGTCACGGCATTAAAAACTAAAAAACAAAAGAGAAAAAAAGAAGAAGTGCGCCTAGTTTCAGCGACCCAGGTCACAATATGACCTTGGGTCGCGACCTTCCTTATGTGATTTGTTCCAATTTTTATTGGGTAAATGTGATTTTTTAATTAAAAAAATAAAAAAATTATTAAAATTTATATTTTTTAATTCTCTACAAATAGAGACCACATTTGATATATTTTGGAATAAAATTAAAAATTTTAATTTAATTAAAATAAAATGAATATTTAGGTTGAGTTGGGTTGGGGATAAAGATAAATTAAGTTGTAAGGTTGAGTTGTGTAGGTGGAAGAGAGAGAAATAATTTTTAATTATTAAGTTGGGTTGGGTTGGGTTGGGTTGGGGATAAAAATATGTACACTATTATGTATGCAAAAGATCTTATGTTAGGTTAGTCTAATCATTACACCGGTATACATTTTTAACAAATTTGCTTAACTTTAATACAATTCATCTTTATTTTATAAAAAAAAATAACTTTTACATAGTATGATATTTTATATAATAAGCATGCATTTTCGTATATAAAGTCTAACTAGTCGACCCTATTGCGTCAATTTTTCTCACGAACCGGGTTGATCCGTCTATGCCTCAGACTGCCTTCGTCTTCGAGCTCCGGTGACCTGGTAATTATCTTGGTACCCAAGAGAGTCTTTGTTAAGGAAGAAATCTAACCAGATCATACTTGCTAACTTACCACGTCTCTATCTAGGCAAGTGTCCTTGAAGAAGTGATCATTTCCTTCTTACTAGGATTCTTTCCCCCTTACTGTACATTCCATAAGTCCTTAGGTCGTGACCTCTACCTCCCGACCTACATGCTGTATATTACCCGAGGTCAAACCCAACCTCATCTTAAGATCTAACGTGCCTCAAATCATATGACCTCGATACCTCAAGGTCAACTATATTGTCGGCCTCCTGGAGGTCGGCACGCCCAGGACTTCTTCTTCAGGTCGGTCGGTACCTTAAGCCTGCACGCGAGCTACTTGACCGAATAGCTTACCTCTAAAGATACTAGAGCTTTCCTAGAACGGCTTAGCCGAGTTACCTACTCAAGCCCGTCTACCGATCTATTCTGAGTGCTACATCATTTAGCCCCTCCATTTCAGGACGATCTAATTGGACTTGTGCTGAAATGGACTCTTTGCACTAAATCTTTGTAGGCAAAAATCCAATTTTGGTCCGCTAATTTGTCCATTGTCTACTTTTGGTACACTATCTTTCCTCTCATAAAAAATAGTCCATTATGTTACATTTTTCATAAGTTTTAGTACGCTACTCCTTTTGGCAGGATTACGAAATGCCAAATCAAGTTTTTATCCTACCACGTCAATATCTTTGTGTGCGAATCTGAGCCTTTGATGTACGTTAACGGGTAGTTTTAATAGCTTAAAATGACTTTATGTTACCCATAATATTATGTACATCAAACATATATTTTTTTTTTTTTTTTTTTTCAAAACGATAGAGGAATTATATAAAACAAACGCACAAATGTGCAAAGATACAACCCAAGGTTGAATACAAGACCCTAAGCTAAGTAAACTGAGAGGATAGGTCTGACGACCGCCTAGAAGCCCCAACTGCTAGAAACAAAAAAAACAACTCTCCGACCAACAAAACAACCAAACACAAAAACTACATCAAACAAATAGTTTTAATAGCTTAAAATGTATCTATAATTTTGAAAAATAAGGTTTANATGTGTACGGTAAATTTCACCCAACCCATAGGTAATGCCACGCGGGGTCTTAACCGTCAGATCATCATACACACATCCATACAGATGTATGTGATCTAACGGCTATAACCCAGCTGGTACACTACCCACGGATAAGATCGAATTAGTTAGAAAAAAAAAAAAGAGAATAATGAAAATTATGTATAAACACTGACTTGAAGAGTAAAGGTCATGGATTTATACTCTTCCCAAGTAACTGGGGAGTTAAAATTCTCTCTTCTTGAGAGGATTTCTTCATGCTCAGCCTGCATTTCAATGATAGAAAAAACAGTTTAATTTTGGAAACAAATTTAATTAGTAGTAAAATGAAATAAAAAAATATTGGTTGTTTTAATATATCACTCACAATTAATTCGAGTGTTTTAATATACTCACAATTTTTTTTTTTATTTTCACTACCTACAAAATAAAAGTACTTCAATTTATAATAAATCCACACACCTAAGTCTATATAATAATATCAATCTAAAGAAAGCATGACAATAAAATAAAATAATATTAATATTTAATATTTTATTTTTTCTAAAAAAATTGCCGTCAAGAGTCGATTTTTTCAACCGATTTGTGTAAATTGGAGGCGGCCACCGCCGTTTTTTGGTACTGTGGTTTTAATATTTCACTCACAATTAACTCTCGAAGAACAGCCGGATTTTGTGCTACAAAGTTCACCACATGCGTTAGCATGCCGGGGATTGTCTGAAACGTGGCAAACGACATTGAAAATAAGAACTGCGCAATATATTCCGGCGTGAGAAATTTGGTGGTCTTCATGTCCTTGACCATCTCATCGAGCATGTCGCCATGATTGTTCGGAGGCGAAGCAATCCTTTCAATCACGATTTTCCTTACCGTGTCTAATGCTTCTTCCTTGTCCTGTAATAATTAAAAAGGTATCTTTTAACTCAAAAGGTTGTTTATTCCTAAAACAATATAAACATTTAAAAACAGGTGTACTACTATCTGTGTAGAGCTGTTTAATGAAACGAGCTGCCACACGTGAACTCGACTATAAGGCTCGTAAAAAGATTTCTTGTTTTATATATAGTTGTATGTAGTTCAGGTTGTTAAAGTTCAAGATCGGCTCGTTAATATTGATAGAGCTGAGCTTAAACTCGATTTCTGGCTCATTAAGGACTCGAGCTTGAGCTTGACTCTACTCGTTTACTCGTCTGCATGGATAATGACCCGGAAATTGTTCGGGTGGATTACTTTAATTAATATTTGTTGAATAAAAAATATGTACTTTTGAAGTGAATTGTATAGTTTTTGTAGTAGGTAAAGTAGTGTTTTATGTTGTTTTTAAAAAGTTTTAAGCAGCACTATGATTTTTTATTTTTTATTTATTTATTTATTTATTTTTTGCTTAAACAAGCGTTCTACTTTGCCTTTTACTTCAAAATTAACTCTTATTTTTTTATATATAGATAGATAAACTGAATTGGAAAAAACTGCAAAATATGTCAATTTTAGCTCAAAAGCAGAGTAACTTTCGCAATTACAAAATATGTCGCCAGTTAATCAAATATAAGCACTCTATCTAAAAACACGAGTGAATGATGAAATTTTGCAATTTTTTCAATTATCTAGTTGGATAATTTTTGGCATGATTTTTACATTTTTTTGGGCATATGGTTACAATTTTGAGCAAGTTTATCACAAACCCCCAAGTAGTTATTGGTCATATTTTATAATTTTGCAAATTGATTAATTGGGTTGCAATTAAAAAAATTACCTTGAGACATTTGTGAAATGTTGTACCAGGAATGTTCAAAGGAAACGACATCGCAGCTCTACTGAGATTGATGAACAAATCTGCAAAATCTTCTGAGCTCTCACCACCATGAGTATACAGATGTTTCCCGCAAAGTTCAGCAAACATCTATATATTAAAGAGATTTAAAAGAACATGTTAGTATTCAAATTAAATAAAAATGTATAAAGTTTTTGGTCCCCTTTGTACTCTCAGGAGCCAATTCGAAATAAAAATTTTACTGAAAAAAAAAATATATTTATATTGTGAACTGACGTAAATTACAGAGAGATATTCTGTTTCTTCTTCTCTCTGAGAGAGAGTTAGAGTTCTTCTTCTCACTCTCAGTTCGCAAGTTAATATAGAGATTTTGTTTCTTCTACTCGATTGCTTTTGGCCCGAATAATCGATATATATTTATTTTCATTATGTTGAGAGTGGGGGAATTTGTAGGAGTTGGATGAATTGTTAGTGACTTATAATTGAAAATGCATGAAAATAATAATCATATGTATAATGGCATGATTGGTATGATATAATGAAATTTAATAGGAATGGAATAAGTTGAAAAATGAAATGAATATGAGAAATGAATGAAACGGGTCTTTTGGTATGCAGAAAAAAAAATAAGGCGGAATAACATTATCATTTTATATTATCATTTATCACTATTTTATTGAAAAAAATAATATTTGTATTAATGTTGCTTTTTGTATTTATGATAATAATAAATTATTTTTTTGTAAAAAAAAATATATTTTATTTTAATAAATACATTTTTGTATTGTTACACCAATATATATTCTATAATAAATTAGTGAATTGTGTATTCATATACACATTAACTAATATGAATATATCATTACATAAACAACTACAAGCATTTATGGTTGAATATAATTTTTTTATATTAAAATTCAGTTTATGAATAAATATATAATATATATGATGTATAAAATAAAATAGTATTTTTTAAGTTATTTATAAATGCATTTTTTTTAGTTTTATTTTTATATACGTATTTATTATATCTAATTAAAATATGAATAATAAATAAAAATAAGTTTTTTAAATTTATTATTTTAAATTTGTTTTAAATTTTAAATTTATTATTTGAAATTTATTTGTTAAAATAATTTTATTTAATATAATTTAATCGTGAGTTATAGCATATATTATATATTTATTTTTTATTATTATTTGTTAAAAATTGAAAAATTGATTGAAAAATTGATTCCTACAAATATAGGAATGAGAAAAGCTTGCATTAGCTATGGAATGACTACTCACATGAAGATGAGTTTTGCGATTCCCATTGAAATGGTCATTCCTTTCCAAAAAATATATCAATCATGGGATAAGGAATGAGTGAGAAATGATCATTCAATTTCAATGTTATTCTCTCAAATCAGTCATGTCATAAGTATTACAGTTTATATAATATTTTTAAAAAAGAGTGTTATTGATTCTTACTATTCTAATAGTGTTTGTTAAATTAAGTGTTATCTAAGGGCTCCATGTTTTTTACATAGCATTTACCTAAGAAAGTGGTATGTGAAAAATGTTATCTGATTGTTTATTTTATTTTATTTTATTTTATTTTTTTGGCGTAGTGGATGCTTTTAAATTACATTGTTTAGTATGAAAGTACATGCATATATATATATATATATATATAGGGAGTGGTTCAAATAAAAACTAGTCCTGGTGTGAGAACCGTGAGAACCATATTTGATGCTAGTTTTTATTGTGTATGATGCTATTTTTAATATCACATGGTGCTATCATTTTCACAAATGCTATTATAAATTGTGTTGCTATTTTTAAGAAAATAAATCAATGTTAAAAATAGCATTAAAACACAATAAATCATAGCACTACTTGCAACTATAAATAGCGGTTCTCACGGTTCTCACGCTAGAACTTGGTTCTCATTTGAACCACATCCTATATATATATATATATATATATATATATATATATATATATATATATATATGTGTGTGTGTGTGTGTGTGTGTGTGTGTGTGATTATTAAATTGTCGTTCTGATTGTCAGGTGTAATTAACCAATCAATCAATCAGTAAACAAGCTGTTAAAATTTCACTACGTTAGATCGGCTATATGAATCGCATGTCACATGTAATTAACCATATGAGGAAATTAATTAACAAAAACTTATCTAACAACTTCGATTAACAACTACAGAAATTAATCGATGAAAATTTATCTTACAGCAGTTGAAGCATGTTCCACTTCAATTGAGTCTTGCATGGACCATGAGTGAATGTGTTTGCAAGCAATCTCTTCAAACTCGGAAAGTAGTTTTTGCCTGATACTCTCAGAGCCAAAATGGTTTAAGACCAAATTCCTTATGTACTTATGAATAGTGAGACCGTCGGGTCTAAATTTCTGGTGTTCGAAAACCTTGGCAAACAAATCGAGGTACCAATGGACAACCAATTTTTCTTCTTGCTGAAAAATATAACAGTTAAATTCTTGATCGGCCGATACCACCACATTGTGGCCAGCAAAATTTGTACGGAACATCAACCCGTGTCTGAGAAAAATTTAAAAATAAAAATTATGTTAGCATATATATATATACGTATGAAATTATAGAAAATACATATGTATAAGTTTAAGTAATCTAGGTAAGTTTATGTGTCACTTATTGTAGAGTTCTTACTTTTTTTAAGCATTGGAATGACTTTGGATTCCTTTTACTTTATGCCATTCAAGAGTTAGGTAGATTTGTATCCAAGCTATACAAAAATTGCTTTGGGCTCAATTTTGTTTTGGTTACATATAAATGAACCTAAGTATTGAATGAAACATCGACTCAAGTAAGAAAAAGAAAAACAAAAAAAAAACATTCAAACGCAAAAAATTGGGTTTGTAATAATTGCAAGAACTACAAAGACAAAGAGCTCTAACAATCTTTTAACACATTACCAATTGACTTAAAAAACTTGGACTAACACCATTTTAGTTCCAAGAAAAATAAAATGTGTGGATCAATATTAATTTTGTTACATACCTTTGGATTTTTTTCTTAATGAATGGATGAACATCAGGGGAGTAGCTTGGAATGAATAATTGAAGGGTCTCTCCAATGAAAGGGAAGCCTGAGGAACCTGGAGGAAGTTTGCCTTCACATTCTGGGTTCATCCAAAGGTAAATCATCTGGGTAAGAAATATGATGAGAAGGGCAAAAATGATATAAATGTACATTTTTATTTTTTTTGCTCTAATTACCCTTGTAATCAGGAAGTTTATGTGTGGTAGTGTCATTGTGATTTGTGTTTGATTAGGGGTTAAATAGATGAAAGGGGTTTAAATGTGGTGGGGACACTGACCCCCTATCCAACAATAAATTAGTACGCGCGATGCACGAAGGAAGATATTAAATGAGTTATTTTTACAGGTTCTGTATCATTTATTTTTTATCTCTTTTAATCAGCGTTAAGTGTAGAAAACAATAGTATTATAATCTATTTTCCACATCTTTTAAACAATAGGATTATAATCTATTTTTCACCTCTTTTAATCAACGTTGTTTTTTTAGCCAGAACATTAAATATGAGCATGTTGGGGATAACTTGTAAAATAATTAATATAATATCTCACTAACACATTTATAATAATGTAAATTTGATTTTAGTATATATATTTATTCATTGATATAAGAGAAAATAACAGTTTTAGAGCATCTCCAATTGTAAATGGATTGCTCTATTTCATGGTCACCTAGCTCCAAAAATCCAATGTGACATTTTAAAAATGTAGAGTCATTTTAAATGTAGAAAAAAATATAAAATAAATAATATAATATAAAATAGAACATGTCTAAATATTCTTTTCTTCACTAACCAATTATTATCTGTGTCAAATTATTCCACAGTTGACATTAACTATTGGAGACAAAATATTTTTATTCCCTTTCTCCACACCATTCATTTCAAAATAGACATTCAACCATTGGAGATTCTCTTACTTATTATTGTTCACCATATAATACTTAATTATTATTTTATTTTAAACTTTGTTGTCATATAATATCATTTTTATTTATAAAAGTTATAAAAATTGTACGTCTTATTTTTCTTTTTATTTTATGTAATGAAAAATATTTAATGCACGTTAGTATTATTTATTTATGTAATCAATTTAAAATATGTATATGGATTTAAAATTAAACAGTGTATAAGTACTTCACAAAATATACACACATGTTTTTTTTAATTTAATTTTGTATACTAATTAAACAACTTTGATTTACGAAATGTCAAAAACTCAGTCCCTTTCATAATCAAGATTTTTCAAATTTGCATTATAAGGATTTTAGTTTATTTAATATACTCATCAACGAAAATATATTTTACAATAACTTCATTATAGAAAGAAATCAAAATAAAAAAATAAAAATATAATAATCATTGTTGTCAATAATATACAAATAAATTCTAAAGAACAGTTAATATATTTCAATTTTAGTTTTTTACCATTAATAAAACTATTTAATTTATATGGTCATTATCTCTTAAATGTTAAATTATATTAATTTGAAGAATAAACCTGTTACAATTTTTTATAAATATTTTTTGAATAAAAAGTTAATATTTGTAAAAAAATTAATATTATGGTTAGAACATAAAATATGCTGCAATATTTATCTTGATCAAAATATTATCAACATGAATCACAGAAAATCCATCTTGTAATTTATTATAATGAATATCAATGAAATTATTGCAGATATTAATAAAATTATTTAAGAAAACAATATTTTTGATCATATCTGATTTGATCTTATTTGAAAAGTGTATATAGAAGCAACTAATGCATATATTTAAAAAGTTTCCAAATAAGGGTATGCATTTATTTTTAGTAGCAAAAAAGGGTATGCATTAAATACCATACAGTACCGGCCGGTAATACCAGATACTGGCTATTGGTACGGTATAATTACACACAAAATACCAGATTTACAGTTATTCCGGTTTATACCGAGATCATACCGTAAATACCAAAAAATATCGGTCCTAAATACCGGTCAATAAAAAAATAATAAATAAATATAATTTATTAATCTAAAAACATAAAATTTAAATTGGTTTAAAATATTTTAGTTTTATCTCCTTGAGAAGTTGAAATTAATTATTATTGTCATTTATTTTTTTACTTTTTTGCATTGGGTATTATATATTTTTATGTATATTTATATATATCATTATATTTGCTCGTCCAGTAATACCACCGATATTACTTGTCTGACCGGTAATACCGCATACCGGTGGCTAGACCGATATGACTACCGATACGGTATTTAAAATACTGGTTATCATATGTGGGTTTATTCCTTAAGAAACTGGTTTTCATGGTCGGTTATACATAGTTATCTCTAATGTCACCAACCAAAGTGGTTTGAAACTATTAATCTGTGGTGACGATGACTCGCTAACAAATTAAACCAAAAACGTTGTGTACAAGGATGCATTCAATAATTTATGATTTTTTAGTTTATTTACCACCCGTTTATTTTTCCTACAAATATAAAAGGTCTATAAATTTTAATATCGAATAATTCCAAGAAAGTATATCATCACCTTCATCAATTTTTCCTACAAATATAAAAGGTCTATAAATTTTAATATCGAATAATTCCAAGAAAATATATCATCACCTTCATCACACGGATCGCGACTAGTTTGTAATGTAATTAGATACAGTAACAGAGGCAATAAGCATGTAAAGGGGCTAGCAATATCCTATATATCAAAGTTAGGGGAAATTTCACCCCATTCCTTGGGCAATTGAAATAGTCAAAGGATAACTAATCCTAGTCATCAATTCATTCCAATCCCTAGCTTCATTAATGCAACTGAAATGTTGTATTGGATTTNCCAAAAAAAAAAAAAAAAGATGTTGTATCGGGCACTGGGTATGATCCTAGTTAAAGGATAGATAATTAATCCTAGTCTAGTCATTCCTATCCCTAGCTTCTTAATGCAATACAATTAAAGAAGAAAACTACTATCACTTCTTATTTTTTTTAAATGTCATTTTAACTTTATTAACAATTAACCAAATAAATGACGTTTTGGATCTTTTGTACATATTTTTTCATTATTGTCCTCTAGATAGCTAATAAATACACTACGTCTTTTCATATTCACTCTTCATCTTTTGTCAAAACATTCATCTCTATTCTCATTAATGAGGGTTATTATTGGAAAAAAAAAGACTTAGTTACTTGCAACTTCTCAAAACGACACTTATTAAAAATAAGAGGAAGTAGTTGATTCTCTTCAGCATATATTAATATAAATTATTATAAATAATGTGTATATACTATTAAAATTATACAACAGATAACGAATATATCATATTTTACAAATTTGATCATTTGTAAATGAATAGTATGAATATATATTATTTAACTAAACATGAGCTATTATATTGATTACATAAAATGTAATATATAATATAATTTTTGTGATTTTGAGAAATCTTGACCAATGAAATAAATAGACAAATATTAAAAGAATAAGAATATAAATATATTATTATTATTATTATTATTATTATTATTATGAGATTTAGTTATTGACATTAAAATTAATTAGTTTATTCCTAAAAAAAAATTCTTAGTGATAATAAAAATGACTAATAAGGGTGCAATTGAATAGAGCACATCGAAATTCAAACTGAAATTTAGTACGACTGTACGAGTATATAGCTTTATGACCACCTCGAATTTGAATATAATTTCAGTTGTAGTTTAATTTGAGTATATAGTACTATGAGCACCTTGAATTTGAATATAATTTCAGTTGTAGTTTTGGGCATTAAGAATTTGATATAGGATATCATACCGGGTCAACTCGACTTTAGAAGAATTCAAGCTAAACCAGGTGAACCGGCAGGTCGATCGGAAGTTGGAGACCATGGAGGTCGCTGAAGCAACAGGCCAATGGTTACTCCACCGGCAAGGAGATGTGCCTCCAACAGGTCGAGTGAAGGTTCTCAGATGGCTTGGTAGAAACACGACCTGTATGTATGTATTCAGGTCGATGGATCGACCTAGGATAGAGTACATGAACACAACGGGAAGACGCTCTAGCTCGAGGAAAACTGGGTCGATCGCACGATTAGATCGTCTAAAGGATAGACTAAGAGATAAAAAAGAATACTATTAGGATAAGAACTACACGTGGATTGAACACATAACCTAACAGAATCGAGCAGTTCTGACACCTAGACAGAACGAACGAGCAGTTCGGGCACTCGTACAGCCCATCCAGATAGGATTGGGCAACAACATACAACCCCTATATAAAGGGGTGAGGTATGACTATCCAAACTCTAGACACTTTTCATAGTTACAAAACTTATATACACCGATCATCGTTTTTTTCATCACTGTGGACTGACTTTATTGTCGGAATTCTAACACCGAGTACACCTCTAAGCCCATTTTGCATGTCTTCGAACATATTAGGAAGCATATTCAGGTCGTGCAAGTACGATCGGGGTCTTTCGGCCACCAAACTCAAATTCAATTCAAGATGTAGTTTTATGAGCACCTCGAATTCGAACTTAAATTCAGTTCGAGTGTGTAATTTTGTAAGCTCGAGTGTTCTCATTACACGTTTTATTAAGTAGGGTGTATTCATTGGGATTTTTAAAGACTTTTCAAGACATTGAAAATCCTAATGTATTTTAATTTAAATTTTTTAAAACTTGTAAAAATTCGAGGTATTCATTTAAAATTTTAAAGTCATATAACCTGAGTTATTTAATATATTTGAGGCTATGATTTGTTACGACTTTTTTAAGATTTGTCGAGATTTCAATAAATAAATAAATAAAGTCTCATCTCAAATTCCACCTCCAGCGGCCCCCGGCGACATGCCCTAGCGCACGACGGTTCAACCCCGTGGCTTCCCATCACGCCGCAGCACGACGCAATGCCGTCGGAGACGCCCAGCCATAGCAGTCGCAGCAACCAGGCGACCCGCAGCGCAGCAGCCAACATGCGATCCCCAATGCGACGCGACCAGGCGATGTGAGCAAGTAGCGTACAACGAGGACTCGACGGAGGCACACAGACAAAGGAAGCATGAAGAACATCTCAAAATTGGTCATCCAAGCCCGTACCCCGTGTAATCTATACAGAGTCGGCTTTTGTGAAACCGTAAGATCTTGATCCTAAACTTTTAAGATGTCAAAAGATTCTTCTTAAATCTGAAAATCTTAAAAGGTT